TCCACGCCTTATGGGTGCTCAAAAAAATATTATTTAAAAAATACACGCCTTATGGGTGCTCAAAAAATATTATTTAAAAAATCCACGCCTTATATATATTCATATATATATGAATATATATAAGGTTAATTATCGAACCTTATGTTTTAGTTTTTTTTTTTTACCTTCCGCAGATGAAATGATTACAACATAGTCTTAGAACCAAACCCAAACACGGAACAAATCATATAACTATTTTAATATAAACCAGTAAGGAAAGTAGTAAAGTCGGACGGGCCGACTATATGATTCCCTTCACCACTTTAGGTATATTCATCAGATGGAATCCTAACAGACCTCGCATTTTTGAAGGGCCATTAACATGACATTAAACATGTCATTCTGCAACCTATACTTAATTTTGGTCAGATATAGAGTTGTTTCTTACAATGGGACAATATTATGTAAATAAATTTAAAGCAAAATATCGAAATCTATACCGATTTCATCGAAACTTATCACATGTTAGGTTACAATTATTTCAGTATTTTTTGGGCATTTAGCCACATTTTGAGTTCTCCATTTACTTATAATTCTAAATTTCGTGCAAATCGAAAGATATATAGGGACTTTGATATACTGTTTACCTTAAATCGTACGAAAATATATATGCGAGCTATATCTAAATCTGGACCGATTTTCTGGAAACTTAACACACATCATTCTAGAACTAATTCATTGCGCTATCCCAAATTGCATGCAAATCGAAAGATATATAGGGACTTTATTACACTGTTTACATTAAATCGTACAAAAATATATATGGAAGCTATATCTAAATCAGGACCGATTTTCAGGAAACTTATTACACATCATTCTAGACTTAATTCAGTACCCCATGCAAAATTTCGTGCAAATCGAAAGATATATATTGACTTTGGTGCACCATTTACCTTAAATCGGACGAAAATATATATGGGAGCTATATCTAAATCAGAATCGATTTTCACGAAACCTAACGCACATCATTCTAGACTTAATTCAGTACCTCATGCAAAATTTCGTGCAAATTGAAAGATATATAGGGACTTTGGTACAATATTTACATTAAATCGGACGTAAATATATATGGGAGCTATATATAAATCTGAACCGGTTTTCAGGAAACTCAACACACATCAGTGTAGGCCTAATTCACTGCGCTGTGCCAAATTTCGTGCAAATCGAAAGATATATAGGGACTTTGGTACACCATTTACCATAAATCGGACGAAAATATATATGGGAGCTATAACTAAATCTGAACCGATTTTTATGAAACTCAACACACATTATTCTGGACCTAAATCATTAGGCTGTACCAAATTTCGTGCAAATCGAAAGATATATAGGGACCGTTTACATTAAATCGGACGAAATTATATATGGGAGCTATATCTAAATCTGAACCGATTTTTCCCAATTTCAATTGGGTTCGTCCTTGGGTCAAATAAGTGACCTATGCCAAATTTCATCCAATTCGGATCATAAATGCGACCTGTACTTTGTTCACAATTTAACATGGACAGACAAACGGACGGGCATTCATAAATCGACTTAGAAAGTGATTCTATGGATATTCTCAAAAGGAACCATGTGTCTATCTCGTTTCCCTTTGCCTGTTACAAACATATGCACAAAGACATTCTTATAGGTCTTCAAATAATATGTTTTATTAGTTATTTCTTTAAAAATTCAAAATTCAGCCTAGAAGTTTATATACTTCAGTTAGAAGACCACTTGCTAACTCCTTAACTGTGGTCAAAAGCTTAGCGACAATTTGTGCCAAACCAATGGGTCCAAGTTCCTTCTCGTAGAATAAGATCTGTAAATTTAGTAAAATAAAATAATTAAAAAAAAAAAATCACAAAAATTTCAAATCTTTTTCAAAAATAAAAAAATATATCTTCAGAACCTATTGTTCCACAATTTACTTACCACATGATTTTTGCCATCGAGTTTCTTGGCCGTTATTACATTATTAAAGGTCGTTGTTTTATCCTTTTCATCAAACTTCTCCAGCGAGGTATCGTATTGTTGTCCCTTCAGTAGATTATGATAAACGTTGTTAATGGTCGTTGTATCTGTCGTCTCCACGGCTGCCTTAAGTTCACCCTTGATAATGACGACAACAACGGCTTGCTTTACATTTTGTAGTGACAAAATAGCCTCTGGATTTTTTTTTAATAAATTGAGAAAAAATTAGATATTATAAGGAAAATATTGAAAGGTATACGAACCCTGACTATCCCTCGACGAAGATGATGACGATGACGACGACGGTTTATGTGATGACGACCACGACGACGACGATGACAACGACGACGACGACGGTTTATGTGATGACGATGACGACCACGTCGACGACGACAGCGACGAGGACGAGGACGAGGACGACGGTTTATTTGATGAATATGATGGATAACCACAGCTTGATGTAGCAATAAAGGCTACTATAATACAAAAACCGAGAGCAGTCTTCATTTTGACCAACGAAGTTTTACTTGTCGAAACTAAAAAATAGATTCCAATATTTATAGTACTGCCTGATGCCACTACTCTAGTTCACAACAGTTGCTGTTCGAACACGATTTATATTAGCAAAGGCACAGAAAAGCCATGATTTTCCAAACCTAATGTTTAATTAGATAATTAACAACACTGATTAAAAAAAATAAATAATATTTTTCAAGGACCTGTATAGGGAGATTTTTATACCCTTCACCACACTGTGGTACAGGGTAGTATGTCGTAACAGGCAAAAGGAAACGAGATAGACACATGATTCCTTTTGAGAATATGCATAAAATCACTTTTTAAGTCGATTTATGCATTTCCATCCGTCCGTCTGTCTTTCTGTCCATGTTAAATTGTAAACAAAGTACAGGTCGTATTTATTATCCGAATTGGATTAAATTTGGCATAGGTCACTTATTTGGCCCAAGGACGAACCCTATATATATATATATATATATATAATATATATATAAGGTCCTCCAAAAATTCGACGTAAGATAGGGTATCATATGGTCGGCTCCGTCCAACTTTACTACTTTTCTTACTGGTTTAAATAATATTTTTTCATCGCCCTATATAAGGCATGGTTTTTTTAAATAATACTTTTTCATCGACCTATATAAGGCGTGGATTTTTTAAAAAATATTTTTTTTTTCAACGACCTATATTTTTTAAAAAATATTTTTTTCGACGACCTATATAAGGCGTGGATTTTTTTAAAAATATTTTTTTCGACGACCTATATACGGCGTGGATTTTTTAAAAAAATATTTTTTTCAACTACTTATATAAGGCCTGGATTTTTTCAAAAATATTTTTTTCAACGACCTATATAAGGCGTGGATTTTTTAAAAAATATTTTGTTCAACGACCTATATAAGGCGTGGATTTTTTAAAAAATATAAGGCGTGAATTTTTTTAAAAAATATAAGGCGTGGATTTTTTAAAAAATATAAGGCGTGGATTTTTTAAAAAATATAAGGCGTGGATTTTTAAAAAAAATAAGGCGTGGATTTTTTAAAAAATATAAGGTGTGGATTTTTTAAAAAATATAAGGCGTGGATTTTTTAAAAAATATAAGGCGTGGATTTTTTAAAAAATATAAGGCGTGGATTTTTTAAAAAATATAAGGCGTGGATTTTTTAAAAAATATAAGGCGTGGATTTTTTAAAAAATATAAGGCGTGGATTTTTTTTAAAAATATAAGGCGTGTATTTTTAAAAAATATAAGGCGTGGATTTTTTAAAAAATATAAGGCGTGGATTTTTTAAAAAATATAAGGCGTGGATTTTTAAAAAATATAAGGCGTGGATTTTTTAAAAAATATAAGGCGTGGATTTTTTTAAAAAATATAAGGCGTGGATTTTTAAAAAATATAAGGCGTGGATTTTTTAAAAAATATAAGGCGTGGATTTTTTTTAAAAAATATAAGGCGTGGATTTTTTAAAAAATATAAGGCGTGGATTTTTTAAAAAATATTTTTTTCAACGACCTGGATTTTTGAATTTTTTAAAAAAATATTTTTTTCAACGACCTGGATTTTTTAAAAAAATATTTTTTCAACGACCTATATAAGGCGTGGATTTTTTAAAAAAAATATTTTTTCAACGACCTATATAAGGCGTGGATTTTTTAAAAAAATATTTTTTCAACGACCTGGATTTTTGGATTTTTTAAAAAGTATTCTTTTCAGCGACCTATATAAGACGTGGTTTTTTTAAAAAATATTTTTTCATGGTCTCGGAATGTCAAAGTATTTAAAATTTTGAGATGGTGGTATAAAAACGCTAAATTAGCATTACAAAACTTTACCAATAAAGCTCACAACAAAGCTTTTTCAAAACAACTCACCACCGTTACTTTTCAAATATTCCATATGTCTTCATGTTGCATCCGCCGAACTGCCATTCAATAGATGGCGCCCAATATCACACTTCTTCCCCAATCAGAATATAAGCGCATGCGTCTCTTCCGTATGAATGACAAACAAGAAACAATCCACTTGCAACACAGCATCTAATACCCTCGGCGTGTGCTTGGCAGCCAACCATTGTCCCTCGAAGAGTATAAAAGGTGGAACAGTTTTGCAAAATTTCCACATTCGTTTACAAGTTACCGTTGATTTCAAATCATAGTTTTATTCGACGAAAAAATAGAAAAAAATTAACTATTGTAATAATAAGTGTTGTTAATAGAATTTTATAAAGAAAAAGAACAGTGTTGTTGGTGTAATTATTTTTCTTTGTTATACATACAATTTTATTTTACTCTTTGGAAAAACATTTATTGTGTTATATTTTTTTGCAAAAAAAGAAAACAGTTTTGATAAAATTAAGATTTTTTTGTTATACAAATGTTCAACAGACACTGGAAACTATTTTTGTAGTCAACAAAAAATATTTTTTTTGTGGTGTGAAAAAAATTAATATAGTGAAAATTGTTGCTGCTGCTGCTTTTCTGGTGAGGAGAGCATGATTCAAGAATAGTGTTAACTTTATTTAGAAATTTCAAGGTAATTATTTTGATAAAATAATGTAACTATTTGGCAATATCACTTAAACGAGAAATCTATTTTATAATATTTGATATGCATTCCACTACAAGTGATCACAATTAATTAATTATTATCGACATAGAATACTTATAATTTTACTACAGATGTTATGTAATACAAATTAATTTCATATACTTGTCTCTAATCGAAAAATATTTACATTTTTAATACAGGGAAACAAATTTTCTATAATTTCAAAATGAGGTGGAATTTTTTAAACTAGTTTTTCAAGGCGTGGATTTTTATTAAAGAACACTTTTTCAAAGACTTACCCAGACGTGGTTTGATTTTTTAACCTACCAAGGCGTTGATTTTTTTAAGAATGTTTTTTTTTAAACACTTACCATGGCGAGAATTTTTAAAGAATATTTTTTCAAAGACTTACCAAGGCGTGAATTTTTAAAGAATATTTTTTTCAAAGACTTACCAAGGCGTGGATTTTTTTTAAGAATATTTTTTCAAAGACTTACCAAGGCGTGGATTTTTTAAAGAACATTTTTTCAAAGACTTACCAAGGCGTGGATTTTGTAAACAATATTTTTTCAAAGACTTACCAAGGCGTGGATTTTTTAAAGAATATTTTTTCAAAGACTTACCAAGGCGTGGATTTTTTAAAGAATATTTTTTCAAAGACTTACCAAGGCGTGGATTTTTTAAAGAATATTTTTTCAAAGACTTACCAAGGCGTGGACTTTTTTAAGAAAATTTTTTCAATGACCTACCAAGGCGTGAATTTTTAAAGAATACTTTTTTCAATGATCTACCAAGGCGTTGATTTTTTAAAGACTTTTTCAATGATCTACCAAGGCGTTGATTTTTTAAAGACTTTTTCAAAGACTTACCAAGGCGTGGACTTTTTTAAGAAAATTTTTTCAATGACCTATCAAGTCGTGAATTTTTAAAGAATACTTTTTTCAAAGATTCTAGAAAGCGTGGATTTTTTAAAGGATTTTCTTCAAAGATTCTAGAAAGCATGATTTTTTTAAAGAATACTTTTTTAAAGACTTACCAAGGCGTGGATTTTTAAAGAATATTATTTAAAGGACTTACCAAGAAGTGGATTTTTTAATGAATATTTTTTCTATTGAAATTGAAGAAAATCGGGTAAGATTTAGATATAGCTCCCATATATATTTTCGTCCGATTTAAGGTAAATGGGGCACCAATGTCGCTATATATCATTCGATTTGCACGAAATTTGGCATAGGGTACTGAATTAAGTCCAGAATGATGTGTGCAAAGTTTCGTGAAAATAGGTTCAGATATAGATATAGCTCCAGTATATAGTTTTGTCCGATTTTACATAAATGGTGCACAAAAGTCCTATAAATCTTTCGATATGCACGAAATTTGAAATAGGGTACTGAATTGAGTTTTTAATGATGTGTGTCAAGTTTCGAAAAAAATCGGGTAAGATTTCGATATAGCTTCAATATATAGTTTCGTCCGATTTTACATAAATGGTGCTCAAAAGTCCCATTATATCCTTCGAATTTTGCGAAATTTGTGATAACGCACAAAATTGGGTCCAGAATGATGTGTGTCAAGATTCGAAAAAATCGGGTCAGATTTCGATATAGCTCCCATATATAATTTCGTCCGATTTTACGTAAATGGTGCACCAAAGTTCCCATATATCTTTCGATTTGCACGAAATTTGCCATAGGGCACTAAATTAGGTCGAGAATGGTGTGTGCTAAATTTCGTTCCAGATATAGCTCCCATATATATATACATATATATTTTCGTCAGATTTTATGTAAATTGTTCACTAAGTACCCATAGCTAGGCCGATTGACACAACGTACTGAAATTAGTAATCCTTCGTAAAGGCGACGTCTGTTAGGATAAATATGTAAAATATACCAAAGTGGTGAAAGGTATCATATAGTCGGCCCTGTCCGACTTTACTGCTTTCGTTAGTGGTTTAATTATTTTTTTTTTCAAGGACCTATTTAATTGTTTTCATATAATATATAGATTTTTCAAGACCATAGGTAAGACAAGGATTTTGTAAATAAAATTTTTCAAGGGCCTACACAAAGATTGAATTTATTTTAAATAATATTTTTTTAAAACCTTGAATGTTTTATATAATATTTTCAAAAAAATAATTTTTTAAAGATCCATAGGTAAGACAAGGATTTTGTAAATAAATTTTTTTCAAGGGCCTACACAGAGATTGAATTTTTTAAATAATATTTTTTTAAAACCTTGAATGTTTTATGTAATATTTTAAAAAAAAATATTTTTTTAAAGATAAGGCATGCATTTTTAAATACTATTTTTTTCAAAAACCTATACAAGGCGTGGATTTTTTAAATCATTTTTTAGTTCAATCTTTAGAGTATATTATTTAAAAATATTTATCTCAGTTATATCGGATTATTTTATATTTTGGAATGCCATTAGATAAAAATATTCCATATTATAAATTTTCATTATAGGTCCACGTTTCAGGGTAGCTCTCTTATAAAGATACCACCCCAATTTCGTTATTTTTCATTTAGATATTAACCACATGGCGTGCCTAAGTGCCTCCTTCCTTTACAAAAAAAAACTAAATACTTACCGAACATCAATTAAAATTGCTGCATTTAAAACAATTTTCTCACATAATTTTCATTTTATCTAATTACAGTGAAGTCAATTTAATTGATTTTTTTGTCGGTTTGTGTCAAAATTTATGGCCTTTCCAACAACCTAGCCCAAGTGTCCATATTCTCTATTCATGGCATTTTAACTCAATTTATATTGAACACAGAAAAATTAGAAGAACTCAATATTGTCCATTATCTATCATCGTCTTGTCTTCCTAGTTTATATTGTAATAATTTTTCCGGTCGTTTGACTCCCTTTTATGCTTCCCAACTAATATTCGGTGTTTATTTGCTGCAATTATCAAAGGCAGCGGCAACATTGCAGCCAGAATATAAAGAAGGAACAAAAACAACAACAACAAAAATTCAAAACAAGTTAAAAAGCTGTTTCAAAATGTTTGTTGGCCTAATAGCGAACTGATGCTGCTGTTTTGGTTCTTTTTCTCTGGCTCCAATCTGGCAGCCAGCTAGGCCGAGTAACGAGCTTTAAACGCTGCAGTGACAGAGATGAGAAACGGTAACGTTCATTCGTCGGTTAGGTTGGTGGGTTGTTTTTGGTTATTATGTTGTTTCCCCCATTTTTTGTTTGTTTTCATGTCTGTGCGTTTTCGTTTTCAGTTGAGTTCGATCCAAAGAACGATAAAGATGTCGTTTTGAAAACGCTTAAAACTCGCTAGAGTTTCGAATGTTAACTTTAAACAATAACAAATAAAATGTATTAAAAAATACAGAAAAAAGTGATTTGAATTTGATTTCGAATATAAATTGTGAAATGAATTTAAAAGTTAACGTCGTGGAATTTAATTTGATTTAAAATTGGTTAATAATAAAAAACCATTAATAAAGAATATTTTTACAAGTTGTTTTTTTGAATTGTGAATATTCAAATTTAAAAAGAAAGAATGGCGGAGAAAAAATATTCAAGTGTTAAAACGGATTCAGGTATAAACATAATAATTTAACGATAACAAAGTAAAGATTGAAGCTACAGGTGTGGGATTTTTTTAAATAATATTTTTTAAGTGGATTTAAAAAAATATAAAAACAGTTTTTTTTCTATTGTGGGAATTTTAAACGAATCTTTTTAAATACCATCAAGCCGTGACGTTTTTAAAAGAATATTTTAAGACCAAATAGTTCGTATTTTTTTACAGAATACATGTACACGGACAAACAGACGTGGGGTTTTAAATTTTTTTTTAACCCAACGAGTCATGGATTCTTAAAGAATATTTTATAAAAAAAAAAACATAAAAGTGTATTTTTCCCAATATTTAAGGACCCTCACAAACGTGAATCTTTCACAGATTTTCAAATCAGATTTCTTTAAGATTTCATTCTGATTTATTTTTCTCAAAGACTTACCAACAAAAGTATTTTTTTAAATATCCTTTAAATATTCACACATTGTTTGAGTGTCTAAAATATTCTATTCTAGATAAAGTATTCTATTGTTCGGCCGTGCCATGAGATTCACACTTAAAATACCTTATATAGGTCGGGATATGTAAATGCGACAAGATTTTTTATTCACTCATGAATAAAAACATACCAATTTAAGCTAAAAATTGGCTAAGGCCTCTAATATACCTTTGCTAATATACCTTTACCACTACTTTGAGTATATTCTACATATGTAGAATATATCTGAACCGATTTCAGGGAAATGTGTGTCAATCGGCCTAGCTAAGGATCTTTTCACGAAGCTTAGCAATATCATTCTAGACTTAATTCAGTACCCTATACCAAAATTCGTGCAAATATATAGGGACTTTGGTGCACCAATTACATAAAATCGGACGAAAATATATATGGGAGCTATATATAAATCTGAACCAAAACTTAGCACACGTCATTCTACCCTTACTTCAGTACGCTATGACAAATTTCGTGCAAATCGCATGATTTTCAGAGATTTTGGTGCACCAATTACCTAAAATCGGATAAAAATATATATGAGAGCTATATCTTAATCTGAACCGATTTTCACAAAACTTTGCGCACATTATTATAGACGCTATGCCAAATTTCGTGCAAATCGAAAGATATATAGGGACTTTGGTGCACCAATTACATAAAATCAGACGAAAATATCTATGGGGGCTATATCTAACCGATTGTCACGAAACATTGCACACATCATTATAGTATCAAATCAGTACTCTATGTCAAATTTCGTGCAAATCGAAGGATATATAGAGACTTTGGTGCACCATTTACATAAAATCAGACGAAAATATATATAGGAGCTATATCTTAAACTGAACCGAAACTTAACGCACATCATTCTAGACCTAATTAATTACGCTGTGCCAAATTTCGTGCAGGTCGAAAGATATTTAGGGACTTTGGCGCACC